CCCCCAGAGAAGTTGCGCCTAAATGTTTTGCTACGGAAAAAATATTGAAACAAAATTTGAGTTATCATACTCGAAGATAGCGGACGACATTTGAAATATGTTGTGCCAGTACAAAATAATATACTGTACTATCTAGCCGGAACTAGATATCTTGCCGCCTGGGCTGCTCGCCTAGTAAGCCCATGTGACACTCTTAACCTTCGGTGAACCGTCAATTGTTTTAAAAACACGACTATTCCGTTTCCTTAACGGTTTAAAAATTAACGGTTTTTGCCGTTCACTAACGGAATCTTAATTTTCGAAAACCTCCGTTCCGTTAACGGAACTTTGCCCAGCCCTAGACACATCTATTACAAGCAACGAGGTTATAGCATATAGATTGATGATGTACGCCAATCCCTTACTAATTGTATAGGCCATGTCTTCACTTCTAAAGGTCATTCTGTATATTCATTTAAGCAGAAAAGGATTTTCAAAAAAAAATTTAATAAAACTGTAGCAATAATTTCAACTTTTCCGTTAAATAGAGAGGGATGTATGGTTCAAAATGTTACCCTTAAAGGGAGTGACCGGCTATGTAAGATAGTTGAACTGAGTATGCAGATCTTTAAATCCTGAGTTTAATCGCAAATTCGATGTTCAAAACTCCTACTTTGGGGGTGGATACGCTTTCAGAATTAGTTTTTTTTTAATTATTAACTAACGTCGACATAAAATGTAAAAAAGTTCCAGAAAATAAAAATTAATCTTATCATCAAAAGTAAGTAATCTTGTTCAATTATTAGTTTCTATTATCTCATTTTCGCAGATTTTCTAGAATTATTATTGAAAAGACGACATTTGAAGAATTTGAAAAAATCTGCCAATAAATTCAAAGAAAATTAGAAATTCAATATAAAAATAAAAACTAAATAATCGATTTGAGCGTTGATTTATTGACAAATTACTTTTGAGAAATATGTTCCTTACTGTATAATTTTTACTTTATTTTCGTTGTCGTTATTTAATAATAAAAAAACTAATTTTGAAAACGTATCCACCCCCAAAGTAGGAGTTTTGAACGTCGAATTTGTGCTTAAACTCAGGATTTACAAATCTTTAAAAAGTTTAATATGTCTCAAATGAATCCGAAAAAAGCTTTCCACAACACTGCATACTCAGTTCAATTACCTTACATAGCCGGTCACTCCCTTTAAAGCTCTGTTTGATTACGTAGGTACAAGATAATTTTCTCGTTGAAAGTAAATTTTTTAATCGTGATTTCTGTGGAAAGTGACTTACGGTGTTTGCTAATGAAACAATGGAGGAAATTATCAGAATTCAACACCTCTCCAGCTACACATATTTCAATTAAACTTTTAAAGGAAAACTTGAACACTAATAATTCCAACTAATGACTACTTTAGCATTTTTTCAGGAGAATTTGTTTTCCATTTAACTATTGCAATCCACCGCTCTTTTATCGTGTGCAGGATTGCATTTTCACAGGAAGACGTACTATTGCAGTCTTTTACAGAGCAATATTTCATGGTTAATAAACGGTTCTGAGAAAACTGAGTAAAATTTAAGTTACAAAACCTCACCATACATTTGTACTCCGAAAGCATACTGCATATTTGATGTTTGTATTGAATGAATAGGCCATAATCTCTTAACCCTATCTCTGCTGGGGTACTTGAAAACCAGGATATGCTGGGAGTTAATATCCTTTATCAGTAAACTATCCAAGTGTACACTCGGGCTAGATAGTTCAGGTAGTTCATTATCTTCACCCCTGGTTACAACTAAAAGGCATAACATAATAGATTTACAGATACTTACTTGTACAACCGCCGGCAGGAACAGCAGTAAAATAGTCTACAACTCCTTGTTGACATCCAGAGACAGGACTGTTAAGCTTAGTTTTAATTAGATCGTACTTGGCTTGATTCTCCAAGGTAAGGCCAGTTGAATGCCGAATAGATCTAACGTAAAGCAACAATAAATAGATGATGATATGACATTTTCAAGTGTTACACTTTGCATGTTACATGAACAATGGTTTTCAGCTGGAAACCTCTTACTTAGCAGGTACAGAAAACGACCTTGCCCATCTTTGATATAAAAAATGCACATTTTTCTTGCATATTCTTTTATGAAAAAACGAAAAAAACATATATATACAGAATATTTGGATTGTTTTTCCTGCAAGTATCATAACGATTCCATGGTGAAGGAGTGGCACTGTCGATAACACATTCGTTTATAAAATCCATCCATCCCGGGGGACAAGCTAAAACAATAATATATTTTAATAAACTGTGTATTACATAGTGGTGTATTCAATGATATATGAAAGCGGTTTTAATTTAGATATTAAGTCATTCATGTTTACTTAAATTGTTTTATATGTACATTGTACAGTGATAACCAGAAAACTCCGGTTTAGGAAGTTGACTTTTAGAGTGGAGTGGAAACAGACCCATTTAAATTAGTGATTTTATAATAACAATAAGTGATTTTATATTTTCTTTGTAACAATATCAAATACACTTCAGTATTGCTATAATGTCCTCTTCCTAATCTACAGTTTTCTGACTATTACTGTAGATGTAAACAATAAACATTGTCTCTTACCATTACTCAAAGTTAAATACAAAGGTTGGAAAAACCCTGAGTTTAAAAAAGCAAGCCCATTTTTTTTGGGGGGGGGATATTATTTTAATATCCTCAATTACATGAATTCCCAGCTCTAGAAAAATAAAAAAACGTTCTCCTGGCACAATAAACCTGGTAGCATCCCCTTGAAGTGTGTATTCCTCCTTGTTCCTTGGTAGATACTTGTATCCCCAGTAGCTCCACATGTCAAGGATTCAGTCCAAGTTGCAGGAGGAGAATTAGTATCCCAGTCATTATTATCCAGAACATTGGCCTGACTATCATCACATTCAAGCACATATAATCCCATTCTTGGACTTCCATAACTCTCAGAGGTGACCTAAAGATATAAATGCTTGTTTATCTGAATTCAATAAACATTGCAAGATTTATATGGTAAAAGTGCTGTAGACGTATAAAGAGACTGAACGTGTTCAGAAGGCACCGTTAAATGGAAAGTCACTTGAAATTACCCTCGCAGACCCTCCATTTATGCGTCCAGAGCTGGGAACTTTAGAATGGATAAACTTTAATCCTGACTTCTTGATCCGAATATCCACTGTGGAAACTTTTCATTTTTGTCCTAATCAACTCTGTTTCTCTCTCCTTGGATATCCGTAAATTGTTTTCTCCAATGAGAATATTTTTGTTCTCTCATTGGTTGTCTGCTTTTCTCTGATTGGCTGCTACAGTTTCTCAGATGATTAAATAATAATTTGAATTTTAATCGTTTTTCATACACTTTTAAGATAATCTTGCAAGATTATGTTAAACTTGAGATTATCAAAAAGAGAGGATCAAGCATTAATCCCGATATCCACCATTCTAAAGTTTTCAGCACAGAGCTGGGAACTTTTGAATGGTGGATATCGGGATTAATGCTTGGATCCACTCTTTTTCTTAATTTCGAGATTAAATCATTCTGGTTCTCCTCTTGTTATTAATCTTCAGATTAATTGACTGATCAGGATTAAGGATATATCATTCTAAAGCTTTCAGCTCTGGCCAATTCACTACGATATATCTTTTTTAATTCTGACTTTTTTTAATCCTCTCGACTGTTTTTAATCGCCAAGTCACTTAAACATGGTGAACTCAAAATTGAAAATAATCCATTTTTTTCAAAATCAAACAATCTCATTCATTCTCGATCATTCATTAATGGGTATTATTGGGAAATGGATATCTAAATATATGGACTAAGACATGGAAAATAGATAAAACATTGTATTCACTTTTTTGTAACAAAAGTGCGAAAATTTGCTTCTGGTAGAAACCTTAGAATTCAGGGCCCCAGGGGTTCATATAGCTCTTTTGGGATGTGGGTTGAAAGTACTTTTAGTGGCACTAAAATACACTTTCGGTGTAATCGTGACTTTTGGAAAGTTGTTTGTGTACGTGAACTACACTTCAGAAATGTGTACTGCATTTGGGGTGATCATGTCAATATCAGTAATATGACAGTAAGATGACATTATCAGTAATCAATACTAGAGATTAATTATGATATACAGAAAAATAAATACTCCTTTGCAGTATACATTCTGCAGAATAGAATTTTTTCTAAAATTTGTTTACAATAATAACATTTCTGCACCTTATATCAATCAATCAACATTTGGGATCATATTGGTATAGAATTAAATGGACCCCTGTTATATCTATCATGCATTCCACCTGTCTCATCAGTTTTCCTTTAAGTTTGATATTAGGGTAGAATGTGCAAGTGTATGCATTACTGAAGAACATGTCACAAGCTGGAGATTGAAGACATCTTCGGGCACACTCTTCTCTGCTTGTGATGTAAGTTAGACTTTGGCTGCTGGTTCGTTTCGCTTGGACTGAATATAAAATATCGGGTTTTAATGTTTGTTTTCGGTGCTAAAGGTCTATTGGCCGAAAGCTTATTAAACTGTGTCTAGACTGTAAGTAATCAGGGAAGGCAGTTTTGTCCTAAATTTAAAATATCGGCTATTGGCAAAAAATGAATTAAACTACGCCTATAAATAACTAAAGAAGTTTAGGACAAAAAAACCTTTCATTCTATTGTTTTAACGTTTAAACTAAAGGGTTTAGTATATTCGTGCAGGTTTAGGGTTTCCAGCAAAAGGGTAAATTCTTTCACAAAAATTTCGCATTTTTTCGTATTCCATTCGCTGGAGAAAAATGCGAAAATTTTGGCGAAAAATTAAATGTAAACATTTCGCCAAAAATGAGAAAATTTCAAGAACAAATGCAAAAAAGAAATACGGATGAGAAATTATTAATTATGATATAATAGAACTTCTAATGCTGAGCTCTCAGAGCAGAGAATTCCACAAGTTTTTTGCGCAATTAATTGTTGCAGCTACAATACTTATGGTTTTAACGAAATATTTTATTTGGCAAAATTTTGTGAAAACAATTTTCGCGAAATTTCGCATCGTTTTCGCATTTTTCGCTCAATTAATTTTTGCGCAAAAGTTTGCGAAATACGAACGAAAATTTTCGCATTTTTTCACGAAAGTTTTTATTCGCTGGAAATCCTTTGCAGGTTGGGTAAAACTTAATAAATTAACTGCTATTACCGTAAACTGAAAGTTAACAAGGCTTACCCTGAACTAGATATGGGCATATTTTTTTTGAAAGCACAAAATTTTTGTGAACGATAACTAATTCTCGTATAGGATTTGGATCATTCCGAGAAATGAAAAAGATATTGTTTAAAAAAATTTGAATTGTTCAATTTGTTCAATTGAAAAAGCTATAAATTTTTTTTACAAAAGATTTTGAAAAAACGATCGTTTTTTACTGGACGAACGATATGTTTAACAAACTATTTGAAAAAAGATAGTTATTTTACTGAACAAAAGATTTATTTAACAAACTTTTTAAAAAAAGAACAATTTTATTGAACGAAATGTTTTACTGAACAGATGTTTGTATTTGAAAAAATAAGAAAATTAACGAAATTGAAGAAAATTAACGATAATTTTTAAAATAAACAAACATCAATTTTTTGAATGATAAAAAAACTAACGACATGGGTCGTTCACAAATGATGAACGAACAAAAAGAAAAAAACGAACGCGACCATCTCTACCCTGAAAGCACACTGTAAAAATGCTACCTGAATCATAATTAATACATCCTTCACAGGAACATTCTGTTCCACATAAATTTGCAGCTGAACAACACTTGTTAATGGATTTGGCATCACACCCAGCAGTAATATTGGTTCCTGGAGCTGGGTTTCCTTCACCACATGCACCATCAGGGCGAACTAGTTCTACAAAACACAATTGGAATTATGTAAATGGAAAATTTTCTGAATTTCAAATTAAACTTGTGATGTACTTTAAATCGCAGACAAAATAAAAGTGTTTGATATCAAATTTATAATTTTGTACAAACTTTAAATCCAAAAATCTAAGCTTATTTAGTTATTTATAAATGTTTCGTTCAAAAATCAAAATTTACCCCAAAAGTAGAATAAACAATATCTATTGTTTTTAAATATTTAAAAATTTTGAATTTTTGGACTTTTCTCCATTTTCTTCGTACATCTTTCATCTTATTTCGGATAATTAAAAAAAAGAATTCTTTTGGGACATCCTAAAAGTTACAGTATTTTTTTTGTATCGCCATTCTGAATATTTTTCCCTGAAAAAAATTGCATTGCAAATTTTGTTCTTCAGTTATGAGGTTGCTAAAGTTACAAAAAAGGTTAACACTTTTTTGTTAAAAAAATACCAACCATTACCCCGCCCCCCCCCCTCCTCCCATTTCCACGGCTTTCCAGCAGATCCAGTTTGCATACGACAAAACAATTTTAAATTTTGATATATGAAAAATACAATCTTTGAATATATTAAGGTTAAAGACGGGAGCTATAAATGAATAATACCTTGTGGAACCATCTTTAAGATATTCGGGTCTGAAACGCTCAAGGACATAAAGTCATAACTAGAACAGGAGAAACTATTTTAATTTTTATAAAACCAAAACATAACAGGACTGAAGTAAACTTATCGAAACTAATCTCAAATAAACTGATCCTAAGAATATTATAAATCTTTATCGCTTGATCTTGATGTCTAATGTAGGCACTTTTGAATTTGAGGATTAATGCTTCATCCCTCGATTAAAAACCCCTGCAAGTTATGGCAAGCATGGGATTAAATTAACCCGTAGATTTGCATTGATTCCAAGATTCTCGAAACAAAAGTTGACTTCAGAGCTGAACACTTTAGAATGAGATATTCTTAATCAAGATCACTTAGTCTGATTTTCCAATGTACACACTTTTATTTTCTTCTTAATCCTCTTTTTGGATGCATCAAAGTAACGTTTGATAAGAATTACAGATACAAAGCTATATCGATTCACAAGCCGGCTTTAAGAGCATTTAAACAAATATAAATTTAATCATGTTAATATGAAAATATTTTTTAAATAATATTTGAGGACTATTATTATTTTGAACTTTAGTCTTAATAAACATTAATCCAAAACTTACGTTCGTTCAATCGATGTTTAGTTCAATTGATATGACACTATCAACACCAGAAATCAAAACCAGTTTTTCAAAAGTTAAAGAGTATATCTTAACATGACACGCTGATTGGTTAAATTTTTTACTTCTTTCTTTGATATGCATTTTAAAATAATTTTGGGTTAGTAAAACCAGGAGTTTAAGCATTAATCTTGATATCAACCATTTTAAAGTTTTAAGCTCAGGTTAGATTAAACAAAAGAAGACTAATCTAATCTAAACTTAATTTTTCCAATCTAAACGTTAAACTAAACTAAACTAAACTAAACTAAACTAAACTAAACTAAACTAAACTAAACTAAACTAAACTAAACTAAACTAAACTAAAATTTTTTTTTTTTAAACATAAACTTATCCTATATAAATATGCCAAGCTAAACTAAAATCAAAATATTTAAACTAAACTTTAAAAGAATAAATCTATTTCAACTGAACGTAGATAGTTAACTAAACTAAAATATATGTCAATACAACGAAGACTTATACTTTCGATTTCAAATGGATTTTACCAAGCTTTTAGAAACATGGAAACAAAGAGAAGCCGTCAATAAACATCTTTTCTTTGTTTATTTGTAAACTTGTAATTTGAAAAAAGCGTGTTAACAATCAAAACTTAAAAAATAAAAGTCGTTTTCATTGTATTGATATAATTGCCGACCACTGTACGAACCAGTTTACCTGGCCCAAGAAGGTTTACATCTACGCCTGGATTTACTATATCCAGGTGGACCAGTTCCAAGGATTTTAGATTTCTAAACATTACAAGTTACATGATCTTCAAAGAATGAAATATCAAAATGTATTCAATATTTTTATTTTCTTGCAACTTTGAGCTGTTTTTTTGCAAGAACAAAAAGTGTTCTTCCAAAATGTTTTTTTACAAAATAGTAATTTTGTTGCCACGAAACATTTCCTCCACAAAACATTCTCTCTACAAAATGTTTCTTGTCCGAAATGTTTCCTTTAATAAAATGTGTCATGGCATTTAACATTTTTCCTGCTGCAAACAATGCCTTTAGCAAAACAGTCCTTCCGCAAATTGTTCCCCATACAACAAAATGTTTCACTTCAATTGATTTCAAACGCTTTTACAGGAAAAATGTTGTTGACTGAAATATTTGATCAATGTCCAGAAGAAGAAATCAGCAAAAAAGTAAACATTTAAAGAAAGTCTAATTAGTCCGTACAAAATCCTGTTTTTTTTAGTAAAATTGAACTTATATAATGTAAGATATACTAGCCAGGCACCTGTTTAGTGTTTATATATATTTACAGGCTGATTAGTTATTACCTTTTTGGCTGGTAACCCAAAAGTTCTGCAAAATGCTTTAGATTTATGCCTTTTCATCTTGCTGATTTAGAACTTTTAAAGGAATTGAGTCTTTACCACAAAAACGCTGATTACTTATCTCTATATCTTTAGATTCCAACTTCGTAAACCTTTGACATGTCAAACTATGATTTTTGTTAGATCAAATGATATAAGTTTGAAATGTTAAAGGTTTGCGAAGTTGGGTTCCAAAGATATAGGGATGAGAAAATCAGAGTTTGTGGCAAAGACTCAATTCCTTTGCGCATTTTTGGGGCATTTTTGGGAATTCCATTTACAGCGTGGAAGAATGATTTTATTTACAAGAAAACTATTGTTTTTTCTAGTTCGTTCTTACAAATATCTCTCAGTTCTTGCAAATATCTCTCAGTTCTTGCAAATATCTCGCAGTTCTTGAAAATATCTCTCAGTTCTTGCAAATATCTCGCAGTTCTTGCAAATAAAATATCTCTCAGTTCTTGCAAATATCTCGCAGTTCTTGCAAATATCTCTCAGTTCTTGCAATGTTCTTTCATTTCTTGCAAATATCTCTCAGTTTTTGCAAATATCTCTCATTTCTTGCAAATATCTCTCAGTTCTTGCAAATATCTCTCAGTTCTTGCAGATATCTCTCAGTTCTTGCAATGTTCTTTCATTTCTTGCAAATATCTCTCAGTTTTTGTCAGTTCTTGCAAATATCTCTCAGTTCTTGCAATATCTCTCAGTTCTTGCAAATATCTCTCAGTTCTTGCAAATATCTCTCAGTTCTTATGTACACTTTTATTCCACTGGGGGAAAGTGAAAATCACTCAGGACATTGAAGGGTAAAGTGTAAACAGTTTGAAAATAAAAATATTATTAAGGTAGCATAACTTGTGGTTTATGCCAATTTTCAAGTTCATTTTTTATTTTATTGAAGTCACAGCGCAGACGACATTTTCTTCCGTGTCTTTCAAAACTTTTCTAATTTTTCTCATCGAGAATGTGGTCTGACATTACTGTTCTTATAATTTGACCAGAGATATGAAGAGTCTAGTCTTGATTTCGACAAATTTGGTTTTTTTTTCATAAATTGAAACCTTACCGAAGTTCTTTATATCTCCATATAATATAAAAGCACGAAAAATGAAAGACCTCTTGCTGAATAAAAGGAATAATAATAGATTCTTGACCTATATAAATGATCAACGGGTAACAAAATTATATAGTTTAAATTTAAATTTAATACTTGAACTTGAAAAATTCTAGAGAATTGACCATTTTTGAGATTGTTTTTCACATTTCCTTAAGTATAAAGAATTACTTACAATGAAAAGTGTCATACATAATATCCAAATATCTATATAAACTTCTTTTTTTAAAACTTATCCATACTGTACAGTGTTCATAAGTTTCAAAACCGGTTTTCTTCACTACGTGCAATATTGTTAATTTTTCGAAAGATCAATGCCGCAAAACATAAATTATTTCAAAGACCAACGACGACCTTAAAGTCGTCTTACTACTGTCAAGTTTCTTAAGATTCTATACCTGAAGATAATCTATTGAGCGCATGGATAGATTTGCTGTGAGATCGACGGATCCTACAGAATCCATGTCCATTTGGTCATCAAGTAATCTAGAGCAAACAGAATTATAAAACAGGCAAGCTGGGTAAGTAGAACGAAAATATGTAAATGGTGCGCCTTGAACCCTAAACAGGTTGGGGGGGGGGGGGACGTTCGGCGCCCCTCTGTAGTTTTTGTGTCCTAGCACTCTTATTTTGGACACTATCACCGTGAAATTTTGTGACTTTTAATGAATAACAATTTAAAGGATTTTTTGTTAAAAAATATTTTTTTTATTTATAGGGTAGGGTATTTAAAGCCCATAATTTTTGTGTGACTAAAGCTACAGTTCTAAAATCTATATGTTTGAAAAGCCATTGAGAAATGCATGTAGAAACATGTGTCACACTTTGATATTTGTTTAAAACACAAACAAAGTATTTTTTTATTTTTTTACCCTTTTTTGGGCATTTCAGTCCTCCTTAGCAAGTTATCGGTCTAATTTTTTTTCTTTGAGCAGGCCTTGAAAAATCTTCCCCCCCCCCCCCTTTATATGGTTAGATGGGAATTTAGATTTTCTAATCTCTATATCTTTGCAACTTAACGTCGTACACCTAAGATATTTCAATCTCTGAATTCTGTTAGATCAAATAATATATAAGGTTGAAATATCAAAGGTTTACACAATCAGATTGCAAAGAAATAGTGATTTGAAAATATTTGTTTATGGCCAAGAAGACTCTATAATTGCTAACATTCTAAAAGATTAAAAAAATTGTCATTTCCTTGGCATTCTGGTCCAAACACTATTCTGTGTAAGGGACTGAGAATACACTTTAAAGTGCCATGCCCACTCCGTCTGTTAATGAAAGGCATTGATAATTCACAAAGTTTTCTGAGGCATTCGATTTTCAATTGGACAAACAGCGTTATCCCTGATTAGACAAAGATTTAAAGGTAAGCGGTGTGAAAGTGTAAATCAGACAATTAGAGCTTACCACTTGACAAAACGTCTACAGTTCTTTTTTGAAAAGGTTTTTATCCATATTGCTTTATCTATTTACCCACTAAAGAGAAGGTATCTATCTATCTATACCTGTCCTTCCTGTACCCTCCTTCCCAGGGAGAGAAGTAGAAGTTGCCCGCATACCCTTCCCCAAACAGTAGAAGGAGAAGGAGAGATTTTATCATTATATATCTAAAACTTAGGAGGCAGTTCCATACGTCTGAAATAGGAATATTAAAATATTTTATATCTTAAACTTGAGTATTTCCAAACCAGGGATCTTTAATATCTAAACCAGGGATACATATTTACACCTAAAACCAGGGATCTTTAATATCTAAACCAGGGAGACATATTTACACCTAAAACCAGGGATACATATTTACACCTGAAACCAGGGATATTTAATATCTAAACCAGGGATACATATTTACACCTAAAACCAGGGATCTTTAATATCTAAACCAGGGATACATATTTACACCTGAAACCAGGGATATTTAATATCTAAACCAGGGAGACATATTTACACTTGAAACCAGGGATCTTTAATATCTAAACCAGGGATACATATTTACACCTGAAACCAGGGATATTTAATATCTAAACCAGGGAGACATATTTACACCTAAAACCAGGGATATTTAATATCTAAACCAGGGAGACATATTTAAGGTTCATCTGATGTGTAAAAGTACATATTTCGGTTCATCTGATGTGTAAAAGTACATATTTCGGTTCTTCTGATGTGTAAAGGTACATATTTTGGTTCATCTGATGTGTCACAAATAAGATGAAAACGAAAATCGTAATTAGAAATACCAATGAAAGGGCTTTCCTATAGAATTAAAAAACATACTTTGAATTTCTTTTGAAATAAAAAAATCAACCTTTCGGATGGGGGCATAGTGAAATACTGACCATTTGTTTACTGGCAACACTTATTAAATATTAACAAGGAATTTTGCAAACTTCAAAACTAATTGCAAATAGAAAATAAACACCATACACATATACACTTAAACAATATATAGTAAACAGCACATGTACAACCTTCAGTGTACATTTTACAATTGTATTTGTGTATTGTAGACGTACACAGTTGATGTTATGCAAAATTGCTAATATTGTACAATGTCCAATAATAGCGTCTTATTAATATACAGATTTGCTTTTTAGAATTACAGGTAGAGATGGGCATTGTTTTTTTAAACAAACGAAAGTTTGACAATGAAAGCATTTTATCGTGAAAAATAGTGCGGTTCAGAAAAAATATCATCTTTTATAGAACGAACGATTTTTTCGAAAATAAATTTTGAAAAAACTATCGTTTTTTACTGAACGAACGAATTTATTTTACTGGACGAATGATTTTACTGTACGATCATTCAGTGAAAAAACAAAAGATAGATGAAAAATAAACGATAATTTTGAGAACAAACGAAATCACTTTGCTTTTGAATGATTGTAAATAAAAATACGAACAAATGGGTCGTTTACGAACGATGAATAAAATGAAAGACCATCTCTAATTACAGGTCTGCGTGTAAAAGTTACTTGCAAACTTATGCAGCAGGGAAGAGGAAGGATATTGTCAGAATTAAACACTTTTCCAGATAAAAAAGGTTCCGTGGTGAATGTGACATTTCACGTAAAGCCTGGAAGATCCCTTATAATTTACTGTCCCTTTAAATTTAGAAAATACAGTTGACATATTTTCGTTTACAGTCCCTTTATATCTAAAATATGCAGTTGGCATATTTTCGTTTATAGTCCCTTTAAAATTACAATATACAGTTGACATATTTTCGTTTATAGTCCCTTTAAATCAAGAATATTTAGTTGACATGTTTTCGTTTACAGTCCCTTTAAATTTAAATAGTTGACATATTGTTTACAGTCCCTTTAAATTAAGAATATATTGTTGACATGTTTTCGTTTACAGTCCCTTTAAATTTAGTATGTATAGTTGACATATTGTTTACAGTCCCTTTAAATTAAGAATATATAGTTGACATGTTTTCGTTTATAGTCCCTTTAAATTAAGAATATATAGTTGACATATTTTCGTTTACAGTCCCTTTAAATTTAGAATATATAGTTGACATATTGTTTACAGTCCCTTTAAATTAAGAATATATAGTTGACATGTTTTCGTTTACAGTCCCTTTAAATTAAGAATATATAGTTGACATGTTTTCGTTTACAGTCCCTTTAAATTAAGAATATATAGTTGACATGTTTTCGTTTATAGTCCCTTTAAATTAAGAATATATAGTTGACATATTTTCGTTTACAGTCCCTTTAAATTTAGAATATATAGTTGACATATTGTTTACAGTCCCTTTAAATTAAGAATATATAGTTGACATGTTTTCGTTCACAGTCCCTTTAAATTTAGAATATATAGTTGACATATTGTTTACAGTACCTTTAAATTAAGAATATATAGTTGACATATTGTTTACAGTCCCTTTAAATTAAGAATATATAGTATAGTTGACATATTTTCGTTTACAGTCCCTTTAAATTAAGAATATATAGTTGACATATTTTCGTTTACAGTCCCTTTAAATTAAGAATATATAGTTGACATATTTTCGTTAGCCCAACCTGACTTAAAAGAGTTGGATAGTTTTATTGTTCACAACGCAGCATTTGAAGTTAACATTTTTAAAATAAAATTGAATATTTCACCTTTTCCCCCCTCCCCCCTACTCCCAAGAATAGGGTTAACACATTAACTTGATACAAGGAATTTAATTAATTACAGCAGAGAATGATAAAGGACTGCTAATGATATCTTCTGAGTAGACATTAAAGAGCAATTTTTGCAGTTAGACCAACTTAATGGGCTTTTCATTGCCCATTAATTTGACTCATTAATTATAAAGAAGTGCAAAAATAAAACAAAATGTCTGACCCTTCCCCCTCCCTCTCCCCTTCCCCCAAATACTAGTCTGACCCTTCCCTCCCTCTCCCCTCCCCCCAAATACTAGTCTGACCCTTCCATCCCTCTCCCCTCCCCCCAAATACCACTAATGACTTAAAATTGATCCTTCCAGACAGATTGAGGCAATTAGGATTTGCAAAAGTGTAAAAACTGCAATAATAGTCTGGTCTACAGTTATTAATCGAACACGTTGATAAAAAATACAAGTTCTCCACAATACCGCCTCTTAAAAGGTGTCTCAATAAACATAGGAATTTTGAAACGATTTAAAAGTTATCTTTGATTTTAATGTGTCTAAAAACGTACAAAAAGCTTTTCAAACAGTAGTCTGCCTTTTATCTTAATCCTCCTGCTTCGGTATTCGCGAAACCATGATATACTGGGGAGGATATAACCCCCATTGTATTTGATAATTATAACAAGCGCATTATTTAATTATGTAAATATGAAATTAATCCATAGCGACATTTCCAATTAAATTCATAAATGATGACGACATTATCAATTATATTCATAAATGAAGACGACTGGTGTTCTAATTTCTTACGGTTATCACAAAACTTGGTAGCATTGTGCAACAAAACAAACAAACATTATTGGTTCTAGAACTTTATATTTATATCTGTTTCTGATTGATAATCTAGTCGTATGTTTAGCTTGAAAGGAATTTAGTTCCATGGTCACTTCCTCCATTGTTCAAAATAATCTATTTTCTAAATGAAAATGATCAAAAACTCATGAATTTATAATCATATGAAGCTTTTAAAGACACCTTTGTAAATAGTACATACCTCTCTATAAACGGAAAAGATCAGTTGAAATTATATCTAAAGTCCCTTTTTTCTGTAAACCTTTTTCTGTTTAAATGGAAACAATTATTTTCAAAATCCCCCAATCATTGTATAATTGATTGGCCTATCTATATATAAATTTGGTTAGTCTGTTTGGGTGTCTGTCTGTTTGTATCCAATAAACGTCAAAGCGGCTGAACCGATCGGACCCAAATTTTTTGTGGCACCTCGCGTTATCCCAGGGAAAGTTTATGAATGATAAAAAATTTAAAAAATGTGTTTTAAAGGTTTTTAATTTTGTAAACAAATTTAAATTCTTGAAAATCCGCAATTTTTTTTTTAAATCCGCAAAATGTTTTTCTTCTTTGTTTTTAAATGTAAACAAAAAGTGCATGTTCACAATTCAATAGAAGATGGGCGCGAGCACCCTAAAAGCCTAGAAAGAAGGGCGCGAAGAGGTTAAATGGAAAGATTGGACATGACGGACATGAGACTCTACACGTCTGTCTTATACCTATAAGTGAGAACTGTAACCAAATAATTAACCAGATATTATACTGTTAAATCAAATTTGATAAGTTTAAAATATAAAGTGTTTATACATCAGGTTGAAAAGAAATAGGGATTAGAAAATTTGAGTTTGTGGCCAAGACTCAATTCCTTTATTGAAGCAACAGAGCCACACTTAAAGAACAATCTATACTAAGTTGAGTTTGACTCCGGTGCTCCAGCACAATGTAAATATCTAAAAATTTAATGAATAACTTTTATAGTTGTTTTGCATGCACAAAAACATGCTGCCCAGGCCCTTTACAGCTTGCAAATTAACTTTGATGTGATCATGTGATAAACCTTTAGTGATCTGGAAAATGTTCAATTGATTTTTCATAAAGTTTTATTCTGCAATGTTGAGATCTTGGTAGCCATAGATTAATAGCAATAAAAAAAGAACAAGCTATTGATGTCGTCTTCTTAAAATAAAGGGAGTTTTTGTTCACAATAACCGTGTGACAGAGGCCAAAAGATGTTACGCGTATGCTCTCTCTCTGTTTTGAAATTCAACGCTGCCTGCATGGACCTTCCTTTGGGCCACTGCCTCAATGTTATTGTGTACGAAAAACCACTAAATCTTTAAATGACTACATCTATTGTTTTATCTGTATTGTTATTAATCTATGTTGTTAGCTTTTTATTGAACTTGTCTTATCCAAACTTTTCTTTATTCTTCAGAAATATCAGAAGATTTATTTAGAATAATCTGATATTTTAGGAAGAGGGAGAAGAAGAGGTTTGAAGGGATTTAGATCGACATGGATACTATACCGGTGGGGTTTCAGGGCCCATACAGATGTTGAGCACCCCCCACACTGTTCCATTGAGACCGTCAGGTTAAAAGTCGTGTCACTCGAATGAAACCTTTTGCAGTAGATACATCCATGTCTAGAGATATCATAACAGCCAATTTTAAAATCTGCCCTGAGTGTTAAGATGGTTAAAATAATAAATTAAAAAATAGAAATAATTTTGTTAAAAATATAAATTATAATATCATAATTGAAGAAATCCGCAAAAAAACGGGAGAAAATGTTCGAATTTCGAATTTTCGTACAGTTTTATCTCGCATTCGAGTGACACGACTTTTAACCTGACGGTCTCAATGGAACAGTGTGCCCCCCCCCCCGAATGAAAAAAAAAATTTAATCGAGTATCATATTTGTATCTAAAAATAAATTTAATGATCTAAAAATGTAAAAACTTTCAAGTTGTAAAACAATCAATGAGGAAAAGATATGAATTTCTGAAACAAGCTCTAAGTCTAATTTGTCAACCTATATCTTTGCAATCGGTTGGAGTAAATCTTTGATATTTCAAACTTAGACTATATAGTCTAACTGGTCCAAATTCAATGGATTTGAGCTACGTCGCTGAACTATCTACTGCCGATTTGAATTATAACCACCACTTCAAGTTAAATACTCAGGAAGAATTTTAATTCGTGATTCAAATTTGAACCGGCATAAGGCGGTGCAACAACCATGAAAATTCATTAAATCCGTGTCCGAATTTAATGAATTTGAGCCGCGTCTTATATCTGCCAAAAAAAAAACGGTTTCAATTGAGCGCCGGCTTAAATCTTGAAACAATTAATACGATTTTAAGTGGAACAAACCGTATTTGAGCCGTGGCTTAAACTTAGGCCGCGGCTCAAATTCTTTAAATTCGGTCTCCGGTCTCAAATTTCATAATAAAAGAAACAAAGTGTTCCCAGTTCCACTGCAAGCTGGACAGAACGAGACGGTACAACTTATGCAACATCACTGGTACGACTTTGTAATGTTAGTAACTCCGGTAGTTTTGATTTTACGTTTGATAAGAGAAAGCAAATTTATTTAGTTACATATGGAAATTCAAAACATTTTATATTCTCAAGCTCTTCTAAAAAAGGAGTTATGATGCATGACAACTAATAAGATTTCAATCTTACGTCCAATTTACTATAGTTTGACGGCCTAGGACATCAGGATGCAGAAATATAGGGTTAAAAATATAAAGTTTGGGGCAAGAACCCGGATCGTAAAAAAATCAATTTAATTCCAAACAAATCATCCATGATATTACAATTAATAATTATCGATAGTTTTTCGACGCATTCTTATATAGTTGATATTTCATAATATGTTTTACTTCTTATGATCTGAAAGTTTCGTTTGAAAATAATAATTCCTGTTTCGAAGATTTTTGATCAAGAAGACGACATTTTCATATTTTCCAGGAATGTTCAAAAATCCATCGCCAGCCAAGTATTTAAAAATATTATGAAATATTAACTATATACGAATGCGTCGAAAAATAATCGATGATCGACTATTGCTTGTCATATCTGAATGATTTGTTTGGAATTAAATTGATTATTTTACGATCCGAGTTGAATGTTCCAACTTTCTGAATTTGTATAGACGCTACGTTCTTCAATAAAAGCCGTTTTTAATAATTTTCTCCTTGTAGACTCAACAGATAGAAGAAAGATTAGTAGTGACCAAAAGCGCTTATTTTTTCCGTAAGCCTATAACCCCTTTCGTTTTTTTGCGAACACTCCCTTTAAGTAGTTTTATCCAAGCAAACAATCGTAGATTACATAAAATTGTCAACGTCAAATTTGAAATATACAAGCAAGCAAGCGTGTCACGCAAATCTGCCCCTTTAGTAAAAGAAAATTCAACCTATTTGAAGCATAAAGTCTGACCACGTCAACCTTGTTGCACCGGCTAGTCCTGTCCATAGAGCTAGGTACAGTACAAACCGGGACCGGAAAGGTTGACCCGGCTCGGAAATTCAAATGTACTACGGCTGCCCGTGGTGTAAGCATTTTATATTTTCCATTATAAAAAGTCTACGTATTGTTAGAATTTTAATGATTATGAAAACGTGGAATAATTTAAACATGATAGAAACCCAATCCCTGTGAAGAAAATATAGAATAGATTAGTTGCAAATAGAAACTTATAAAGGGATATTCATTTGTCATAGAGTCAGTACTTTAGTGTCATGAATCTCGGCAAGTATTGATCTAAATGGTTTAGTTTAGTTCCCTCTTTGATATCCCGTGATGGTCATACCCTGAAGGGATAACTTGAATTGAGGGATCGAGCATTAGTCCCAAAATTTAAAATTTCCCATCTTGGATATCGAGATTAAGCGTTGAAGATTAACAATATTCACACAAAAGCTCCGATCTCTGGATCTAAATTTAAGAAGCCTTTATTTTCTGCCCTGTTTTTAGTTTTTACCCAATATATGCATAATTTTATTATTTTTCTCTCTTTTCCTTTTGCACAGTTTACTTATTAAATATTTAGCTACGTCACGTTTGTCACGTGTTTTTATTAGATTAGGTAGAAAAGATGAGCACAGAGGTTAAGTGACAAAACATCTTTTTATATTTATTTAGTAAAATAAGTTTTTCAAAATATATTATTGAAAATTATAAATAATTTTATAAAATATTCTTGTGTTTCTTTTAACATTGGAGAACGTTTACGTGAATAGTAATTGTCCTATTTAGAATATCGGAACTATGTCCTGATGGAAGACATGTTTTTATTCAATTTGTGAACAGAAATTGGCCAAATTTCGGTTATTTTTACCCCACCTTGTTTTCTATAAATATATGCAACAATCAGCTTAACCATTCATTCTGTTTTAACTTCTGCTACCATGCGGTTGCAAACAGGTTTTACATGCATTTTAGTACAAACAGGAACAGGACATCTTTGTCACAAACAATGCAACGTAATGTTTTAGAGCTCAGATGTTTTAAACTATTTCAAAAAACTTCTGTTGGATCAATTAATTTAAGTTTAAAATATCAAAGGTTTACACCATCAGGTTGTATAGATACAGGGATTTTAAACCTAGATTTTACTATAATCATTTTTCCATTGACATATTTTCATGATTTTGTGTTTTTAATATAATGCAATATTGATATTTAGAACTTTAATTTTCTTCTTTCTGTGTTAACATGAAAATGTTGAGGCTGGTTGGGGGGGGGGGGGGTAGCGGAACTAAAGCCCACAACGTGGGTTCCCCCCCCTTATTTTTGAGCTAAAAATCTATAATTTTACTATTGTAAACATAATTTTTTTCTAAATTCCTATCTGCAACTATGTACTTGTACTATGCATTTGTCATATGCTATATTTATTATTCTCTAGGATTAACTGTTTGTGGTGTTTTGATCCTTCCCTTGGTGTCAAGTTTACCACATTCTATCCCAGGCTCCAACAGATATAGGTAGATTATAGATAATGGAAATCCTTCCTTCCATTCCAACCCTTCACTCCCCCTTGTAGCCTTCCTACCCTTCCCATTCTTTCCACTATTCCCAGCCTTCCTATTCTTCTTACCCTTCCCATTCTTCCCAGTATTCACAGCCTTCCCAGTCTTTTTAGCCTTCCTATCATTCCCAGTCTTTCCAACCTTCCTAGCCTTCCCAGCCTTCCTACCCTTCTCAGCGTTCCCAACCTTTTCAGCTTTCCCAATCTTCCTACTCTTCCTACCCTTCCAATTCTTCCCAGTATTCCCAGCCTTTCCAGCCTTTCCAACCTTCCTAGCCTTCCCAGTCTTCCCAGCCTTCCCAGCCTTCCCAGCCTTCCCAGCCTTCCCAGCCTTCCCAGCCTTCATATCCTTATTAGCCTTCCCAGCCTTCCCAGCTTTCCTAGTCTTCCCAGCCTTCCCAGCCTTACCAGCCATCCCAATCTTCCAAGCCTTCCCAGCCTTCCCAGCCTTCCGACTCTTCTCAGCCTTCCCAGCTTTTCTACCCGTTCTACTCTTCCTTTTTTCACTATTCCCAGCCATCCCAGCCTTCCCAGCCTTCCCAATCTTCCAAGCCTTCCCAGCCTTCCCAATCTTCCAAGCCTTCCCAGCCTTCCCAATCTTCCAAGCCTTCCCAGCCTTCCCAATCTTCCAAGCCTTCCCAACCTTCCCAGCCTTCCGACTCTTCTCAGCCTTCCCAGCTTTTCCAGCAATCCCATTCTTTCCAATATTCCCAGCCTATCCTTCCTATCCTTTCTAGCCTTATCAGCCTTCCCAGTCTTCTTAGCTTTCCTAGCCTACCTAGCCTTCCTGGCCTTCCTATCTTTCTTAGCCGTCCTAGCCTTCCTAGCCTTCCTAGCCTTCCTTGCCTTCCTAGCCGTCCTAGCCTTCCGAGCCTTCCTAGCCTTCCAAGCCTTCCTAACCTTCCTAGCCTTCCTATCTTTTTTAGCCGTCCTAGCCTTCCTAGCCTTCCTACCCTTCCTAGCCTTCCCTGCCTTCCCAGCCTTCTCAGCCTTCTCAGCTTTCCCAGCTTTCCTAGCCTTCCCAGTCTTCCTTCCTAGCCTTCCCAGCCTTCCTACCCTTCATTGCCACAAACTCTGATTTTCTAATCACTATATCTTTGGAACCAAATGAATTCTGTTATATCAAATATTCTGAATTTGAAATATCAAAGGTTTACAACATCAGGTTCCAAAAATTTGAATATTTGAGTTTGTGCCAAAGACTCAATTCCTTTATTAATTGACTGTAAGAAAAAACTGAAAAATAGAAAATAGAATACCTTTATTACATCTTCCATTATGTTATAAGCATCTAATATGTCGAGGTCTCGTTTTTGCAAAAGTTTAAGTTTAAAGTATCTTAAAATTTTGTGTTAACAGTGATTTAGACAAATCCTTAGTCTTTGTCATTGTCAGCTGTTACTTTTTAAATTTGTTTCCTTTTAATTTTGTATTTTCCAGGGGGGCAGGGCCCCAACTCCCAGGGGGGGCAAGAGGACTACTTCCCCCCCCCCCTATGTACGCCACTGATTTCTACATATAATCGCTTATCATTATTATAAAAGATTATAATTTCTTGCAGAGGTAAAAAAGTTCATTAGATACATTTGTTAGCTTACCAATGTATCATAATTATCAAAGATTATAATTTCTTGCAGAGGTAAATAAAGTTCATTAGATACGTACGTTTGTTATAAAGGGATTGAGTTATGTTAATTTCTTTATAATTGTTCTGGAAGAAGTAAAAATTCTCCGTCACGATTAACAAATTTTCTTATTTAGAAGGAACTGGGCAGGTTTTAATAGAAGAACTGCTCGTACTTCAAGCAAGAATATTCTAGATGTTCTTTTTCCGAACAGACCCAGGTCAGATATAAAAACTGTGTTTTAAATCTATTTTACAATTAATCAAAAAACATTGTTACTGGTTATAAGCTAAAAAAAAAATCATTTATTTTTTATGAGTTAAATTATAGAGAAAACAAAACAACAAATCAAGCTAGATATTTCTCAAGGAGTAAATGGCCGACAGCTGTTGAAGACTACTCGGCAGAAACAGCTGACTTAGATCTGCGCCAATCAGCTGATGCTGGCTTCCTCCAATCAGCTGATGCTGGCTTCCTCCAAGCAGCTGATCTCCCACAGCAGGCCAAGGGATACTTTCTTAACCTTCAAAGTCAAGTCATCCCTAAGGATAACAACAAAACCCCAGGCAAGAATTTTTTGATTAAAAAATTTAAACTAGTTTTGCTTTTTAATCTTTTAATCGAAGCACTGATTAGCTAATTTCGTTGGGTTCAAAATCAAACTAATTTCATCATTAGGTTTCTCATTTTCAGGAATTTCCAGCCATATTAGGTCTCAGGATTATAAGCTACAGGGTTCAAGATATCATCATGATCCACTAGATCATGATGGTTCTGGATATTATCATCAAAGTCCATCCGTTCTACAAGAAGATGATGATTCCGAAGTCAAAGGAAGAGTTCCTCGTTACAACAGAGCAGAGGAAGACGTTAAGGAAAGGTAATAATCATTAAGCATGCACGTAATTACATTCAGAATATAATTTATGCTAATTTTTAATTCAAAAATGTTTAGTTATGTTGAAGAACTGAATGACTTGGCTGAGTTAGATTTTGGACAATCCCAATCCATTGGAGAGCTAAGGGATATCCAAGTAAGATATTACAATCCCAATCCATTGGAGAGCTTAGGGACATCCAAGAAAGATATTACAATCCCAATCCATTGGAGAGCTAAGGGACATCCAAGTAAGATATTACAATCCAAATCCATTGGAGAGCTTAGGGACATCCAAGTAAGATATTACAATCCCAATCCATTGGATAGCTAAGGGATATCTAAGTAAGATATTAGTTGACTGATAAGAACTTCATGGTTCTCACAAAGGATGAAAATTTGAGACGAACTTACCAAAAATGTTTTGTCGTTTTATTCACATTCATAATTCCATTATATTATTTGAAAAACCTTGTCCTCACAGTTCTAAAGTTTAGTTTAATTTACTCAAATTTTGCATTTCTTAAACCAAGTAATGCATTTTTTCCGACTGAACTTGTTAAAATTCTTGTGTCGTAAAAATGAATTAAAAACTTTTCTTGAACATTACTTATTAGATAGAATTTTAATTATTTTTTCGTCTACTTGACAGTGACTGAAATTGAAAAGTATGCATTTCAGCTCATACATTTAAACAATTTCAGCTTTAAATTTAATCTTTCTCTTCACTAGAAGCTTTAGTTCCTTTGAAGCACCAAACCGACTTTTAAGCAGTTAGAGTTGGATTAATATTGAGTATTTAGTTATGAATATTGTTAGATAGTGAGAATAAATACCCATGGATTGTAAATACCTGTCAAGATGTTAAATACCTGTCAATCAATGACGACAATTTATTTTGAAACTCGTAAATGATACAAATACAATTTTTATTTCCATGATATTAATAAGAATATCTGTGTTCATCTGGAGATAAAAGAGTACAGAGATCTATTAAAGGTTGAAATATGCGATATTTTCTACAACATTTTCCATATTGTACACGACTAATAAATTGTACACGACGTATAAATTCAGGGGAAAATAAGGATCCTTAGGGTAGAAATACAAAATCTGAAAATAAATTCAATCAATAAATATTATTATTTCTGTTAAAATTTGTATGCATAAAGTGGCGGCTATAGATGGCAATCTTAAAACATGTTGTCGAACATAGCACAAGTGCAATTCTCATGTACAGGCCATCCTGGCCGTGAATGCTAAATAGCAGTCTTTCATATCTAGTCTGTGGGTTCATTCTTGTATTACTATATTAGTTCTACTCTACGGTATTTTATATAACTTTACTGCATGTTGCAGTCCATCCTTCATGCATCCTGCTTCTGTCTGTTTTGTTATTGGATGATTCTCAAGATTTGTAGAAGCATAAGAACAAGATCAAATTCTGATTTCATGTCGCACTATAAAGCTAAAAATAGACTTACATTGATTTGAAAAATATGTTAAAGGGAAAAATCTGATCAGAATTTAAAAATATCCCTGATTAAAAACTAAATCTTGTCAAATCATAAAAATCATAAAAGGATTTTTTTATTTCATATTCCAGCTTTTTATTATAACTTTTTTATTTATCAACAGACGTTTAAGTATTTTAATAGAATAAACACTTTCCAACCGTTTTTGAAAAAAAAATTTTAAAAAGCCAAAAAAAATCATGTAATTTGTTATGAAATAAAAATATCCTTTAATTTGGTTCAGTTTATTTCTTTATTTTGCCACCTAAAACATGATCCAAGAAAACATTTTTATAGTTTTTTTTAACAAAACTAATCCTGGTTTCTTTTTTTAACTCACCCTGAGCTGATTATAGATTTTATATAGATATTATAAAAATCCTGCATGATCCAAGAAAACATTTTTATAGTTTTTTTTAACAAAACTAATCCTGGTTTCTTTTTTTAACTCACCCTGAGCTGTTTGCAGATTATAGATTTTATATAGATTATAAATAAAAATCCTGCATCTCACGTTTATAATCATCTAACTTAGTTTAAAGTTTTATTGCATTTACAATATAGGAACATACAGTTCTAAAAATAGTTTAATGAAATAGTCAAAATGTTAATTTATGCAAATTAGAGATTTCGAGATAATACACTTGGAGAAACTCAAGTTTGCTTTACTTTTAATAGTGTAGTTAAACATTCTCAAAAATAAGAATTTAAAAAAAACTTTCTTTTATTTTAAAAAAATTAAGAGAATAGTTTTACCAAGTACACATTGGCAGAAAAATATCCGATTTTTATTATTTTAATTATTATTTTATTATTGTTAACATTACTATTATTAATATTATTTCATTGTCATCATCATTATTATTAATATTATCATTATTATCATTTTATTCTTATTACAATTCAATTATTATTATGTTTATCCTTATCGTTATTATTATCATTATAATTGTTTTGATTATTATATCAGAATTAATCCTACATCAGTGTTACTATTTCTAGAGCTCTAACCTAAAAGGAAATAGAGGGAACACCCAGGGAGAGGGAGGAAGATTAAGCATAACTAATAATCTAGGTGAGAAGACGACATATACATGTTAACACACAAATAACGTACGTATGATTTTGCTAGGGGAGTGTGATACATGAACCTTGTCCAATTTTTCAAGGTCTCCTCAATAAAAAAGTAGACCTCTATGTTTAATGGTTAGGTTAGGGTGCAAGGGATAATCTAAATGAGTCCAAAAAGTACGTCTGAATATGTTCTAAAAATAAATATGTTTACTTTTGACAAATATTACCATGTGACACATCTCATGTTATTTCATTCATTTTTCAAGGGCTTTTCAAATATATAAATTTAAGCCCTGTATTTAATTAATAAAAAAGTTTTAAACTATTTTTTAAACACCAACCAGCCGTTTGACTACCCTCCACCCTACCCTATGCATCAATAATAAATTTAACAACATTTTTTAACTATGAAGTTGAACAAATGAAGAAGTCTTAGCGTTCTAATGTTAGAAAGAAACACAGGGGGCGTGGTAAACGTAATCGTGATGGGTTAAGATTAATGGGGTCTTACAAATGGTCTCCTGTAAGAAAGGACCAGGGTCTCATGTTGTTTAAGCCATAACTTCGAGGAGATATAGAAATTATTTATAAAACGTCGTCTTGACATTTGGTTTTATACTATTATACCTAAATCTCAGTAATTGTAAAAATAGATAAAAAGATACGAAATATGCGGGAAATAGTTTTAAAGAGCTACTGTAATTATTCAAATAAAAACTAAATATCTGCTGCATTCCATTATAAGTAGGTTTAGAAAAAGACATTTTATAAATGTCTTTAAAGGGAGTGTTCGCGAAAAATAAAAGGGGGTATAGGCTTAATGCGATAAAAAAGCGCTTTTGATCGCTACTAATCTTACTTCTATCTGTTGCGTCTATAAGGAGAAAATTGATAAAGACGTCTCATACCGAAGAGCGTAGCGCCCATATAAATTGAGGAAGTTGGAACATACGACTTAGACCGTAAAAAAATCAAATTAATAGCAAACAAATCATTCAGATATTACAACCTATAGTCATCGATTATCTTTCGCCACATTTGTATATATTTAATATTTCATACTAGTTTTGATTTTGTTTTTAAAATAATATGTAGCTTACAACTTGTTTTCGAACATTCCTGGAAAATATGAAAATGTCGTCTTCATTACCAAAAATCCTCGAAACAGGAATAAACGTTTTTATAAGTAACTCTCAGATCATAACAATTAAAACATATTATGAAAAATCAACCATATATAAATGTGGCGAAAGATATTCGATGACTATAGGTTGTAATATCTGAATGATTTGTTTGATATTAATTTGATTTTATTACGGTCTAAGTCGTATGTTCCAACTTCCTCAATTTGTATGGGCGCTACGCTTTTCGGTATGAGACGTCTTTATCAATTTTCTCCTTATAGACGCAACAGATAGAAGTAAGATTAGTAGTGATCAAAAGCGCTTTTTTATCGCATTAAGCATATAACACCTTTCATTTTTCGCGAACACTCCCTTTAAAGTGCTGGGTTAAACTGTAAAAATATCTTTCCAGAGCTTGAAACTTTAGAATTGGATACCACATATACTTATCGTTTAATCTGAATATCTACTGTGGACACTTTTGATTTATGTTTCGTCCGCTCTTTTTCCCACTTTTGGATAGCTCTACCGGACTCCGACCAATGAAAAATATCCCGGCTTATGATTGGCGGTTCGGTATCTACAATTGGTTGCATTTTAGATACTTTCCTGGATACAAACTAAAGATTAAAATAATCTTATGATTAATAATAAGACGATGATCACGATATCCACAATTCTAAAGTTTTCAGCTCAGATCTCAACAAGAAATGATAATTGGAAAGGAGTTTAAATCGGATTATCCCTACTACCCACTTTTATAAAAATTTCATGACCATGTATTTATCGGCGAAATCACATTTTCATCGAAATCCCCGATATCATTTTCTTAGAAATGCCGCCACAAACCAATCCACGTCGGCTCATTAACAAATCATTTGATTAATGACCAGAAAACTACTGATTAATTGTCAACTATTCAATCAATCATTTTGATAAAACTTAAATTATGATAAATTGACTTAATCCAAATGGCTGTTAACCCTGTAATATTCTTTCAACTTAAAGGGACTGTAAAAGAAAAATTAAAGGGGGTATAGGATAACACCTGAGAATCTCTGGCGTTAAAAGATACCTTTAAAACATCTATCTGATGTTCCTGTCTCGAGAAATTGATATAAAACTATGTCAAATTTAGACGAAAATTCATATAAATGCAATTTTGCATAAAAGTTGTAGTATTAAACAGATCATATTCAACAAAAACGAACCCAATCTGAAAACGATTATATCCCACAGGAGCCTCAGAATCTCATGTTTGCTTTTGATTTTGCATTTTGAATAGATATAATGGATAATATTATTACATATAGTCCGTAAAGTCAGTATTACGTCACAATAACTTCAGTGGCAGAATTATAATTATTCACATTCGAAGTTTTAAAACTGTATTGGACTTTTAATATTCTATAGTTTACAGAAATCAATATGACTAAAGCCGCGTTGGGTTCACTCGGCGCAGCGCACTCCAATTTTTACAGTGCATTTAAAGGATAAAAACACTGAGTTCTCTGTTGTGTCTGTTTAGTAGGGATGTCTCTCTTTAAATAAATGGTTACTTGAAATTAGGCTTACAGTCTCTTTTACGCTTTTTTCCCCCTACAATTTGAGTAAACTAAAGATGAGGTGTAGTTTTTTATCCTTTAGAAACTAGCAATGGTTGTAATTAAAAGCTGGGCAATGAAGGCATTTTTTTCACAAAAAGATATTTTATAGAAAGTCATTTTAAGGAAGTAAATTTCATCTAAAGATAGAACACCTTGAAGATTGGACATTTCAAAAATCGGACATTTTATGGTAATTAAAAAAGTAAGAAAATAAAGAAATTGTATTCAGTTTTGACTAATTCGATTTTCTATAATTATGACACATTTTATAACAACTGAAACCTTGAACTGTTACGTATTTAGAATTTTTGTTATGAAATTACCAATCTATGCAAATTCTTTTCTGTTTGTAAGAACGACATTTCAGAAAATTTAATTTTCTCATATTAAGAAATTCGTCTCTGTCCATGAAAAATATTCTTTGTCTATAAAACGTACTATTCAAGAAATAAAATCGATTTTTTTTCTATGAAAAGTTTTCCTCATTTCCTGATATGTATCAGTTAAATGTCAACAATCCAAAATGAAAAAATCTTGGGTGAAATTTCATTAAAAAAGATGCCAATGGTTCCACAGTTTTTGTTTCCATCGTATTCCGTTTTCCTAGACTGTCAGTGCAATAAAACGTAATAATAGTTTTTTCTTATCTATGTTGCAATAGTTCAGGAGATACGTTAACCCCTAAATGAGCCATACATCGAAAGAATTTATCAAATGTCGTCTTGACAATTATTCAATTGGCTTTGTACTTTTTTACGTAAATCTCAGTATTTGCGAAAATAATAAAAAAACTATGAATATGCGGGAACAGTTTTAAAGAGGAACATATAATTATTTAATTAAAAACTAAATATGTGCGAAATTCCATTATCAGAAAGAATACGACATTTGATGAATTCTTTCGGTGTATGGCTTATTAAGGGTTTAACTGTAGTGAAATAGAGAAACTAGGTCCTTTTATTTTGAAATTATAACTTTAACGTCAATCATCATTAATCAAGTTAAAAAGAAAACATTAAATGACATTAGACCTCAGACAAGTTTGCAAGAAACATTTTGCAGCTTATTTTATTATTAATTTAATAATTGTTGCTCGGATCCTAATTTGGAAAACTGTCCGCGTTGGAATTATAACAAATCTTGAAATTTTTGCGGATTTTAGTGATTTGTTCCCATCAGTGAGAGAAAATCTTCTTTCTAAAGTCAAACTTCAAAATTGAAAAGTTATTGGCGCAAGAGAAGAAATGCTTCAACTGGCTGTATTCAACTATTTTCACTTTGTATAAACTTTCAACTTTGATTATGTTATTATAAGCCCCCCTCACGGTGAACTAGAAGTCCTGGTTAAAATTCAATTGAGTCTGATCACCCAATAAATGTAGATTTTAAGTAGAAATTTGCTATTTTATGCTTTTTTGTTAGGCTATGAATCTAAATATTTAAGGTTTCGCACGCTTTTTTTTCGAGGATTTGAGTGATAGATCAAAATATTAATTAAAATACTTCGACACAGACAGGATGTACTTCCTTAAAGTTAGTTTTACGCCCCCCCCCCCCCCCTTCAAAAGTCATAAACAGTAAACAGTCTGTACTTTGTGATTCGACCAATATTAGTTTGTTTGTAATTCTTTTCTATTTTGATATTTGTTTAATCAAAAGTTTGATTACAATAATATTTTACAAAACAATTAACAACAAATGTGTGGTCTCACGCGACAAGTCACAAATATGTGTTTATCATCACAAATTAATCTTTTAATTATGTTTTAAGAATACTATAAATGATTTTTCAACTAGTTTAATTCTTTATGTAGATAGTTTAATTAGATATCAAATTTTATAATTTTGGTAACTGATTATTTTTCATTGTGGTTTTTACTTTAAGAGTGGCTTGCGCATTTCTACTGCAGGACAACTTTTGAACCTAGAAAAATAAGAATATCTTGATCAAAAAAGGGCATTGTTATTTTTAAATGGAAGGTCAGTTAAAATTAGGCGCACAGTCCCTTTATTAAAGAAAATATAAAATTCTAGATGTTTTGAGGAACCGGTTGATGAAAGAGATAATTAGAAGAAGACAGGTCACATTAAAACAATTTCTCAAAAATATGTTCATTTATCTACGCAATTAAAACATATTATTCTATTCTAGCTAAAGTCCCTGGCGTTGCCCGTGGATTAAAAAAAATCAAATTTTGAAAAAAAATTTAATTTTGACAAAAAAATTTTATTTTGACAAAAAAATTGGATTTTTTAGCCTATGATAAAGAAAATGTCAGCCATTTTGATCGATCCATTTGTCCAGCTTATTTCTGGTGTTGCCACTTATTTCAAGTAAATATTTATATTCCTAAACTATAAAACAGTTTGAAAACATAAAATTGTGGTAATGGAGGATCACATAAAATTATATCGACATTCCCTTTAAAGGGACTGTAAAGGGAAAATGAAAGGGGGGTATAGGATAAAACCTGAGAATCTATCTGATATTCGGTCTCGAGAAATTGATATAAAACTGTGTACAAGTTATACGAAAATCGATATATATGAAATCTTGTATAAAAGTAGTAGGTTTAAAAAGATAATATTCAGCAAATACGCAAACAATCTGAAAACGATTATATCCCACAGAAACCTGATAATCTCAGGTTTGCTACGATTATAATTTTTAAATTTGTGTTTTGCATTTATAAGAGATAAAATTGATAGTATTATTTTTAAGTCCGTATTACTTCACAAGAACTACCGCCAATGAGAGTGCAGTATACTGGTCACGTGGTATACTGCACTGCCATTGACTGACGTGCTGGTGACGTAATACAGACTATACGGACTATATGTAATGATACTATTAATTAAAAATGCAAAATAAAAAATGAAATAATTAAAACAGTAGCAAACCTGAGATTCGCAGGTTTCTGTGGGATATCGTCGTTTTCAGATTTATTTCGTATTTGTGAAATATGATCTGTTTAATATTACAACTTTTATACTACATTGCATATATATGAAATAATCGTATAAATTTGACACAGTTTTAAATCAATTTCTCGAGACAGAAACATCAGATGGATGTCGTATATGTATAGTTCAACGCCTGAGATTCTCAGGTGCCATTCTATACCCCCTTTCCTTTTTCCTGTACAGTCCCTTTAAATATCCTAGTTTTAATCTTGTTTAGAGTGGAGTTGTTGTTTACCAAGAACCTGTTCGATCTCTGGGACAACTTGGAGACCTGGGTTAAAGGTTAGGATATTTAATTCAACCAACCATACCTAGTCCAACTACTTTCGGGAATACAGCAAGTTTAGGTTCTGTAGAGGACAGTTTAAAGTTAGTTCTCTTTATAGATACAGTATCCCACCGATAACAAACTATTATATTTAAATAATGTTCTAAAGAAAATATATTTCGTGATTGTCGTATTTAGATATAAAATCATATATTTCAATTTAAAAACAAAACTTTATTCCAACTTTCCTGAATAGTCCCTTTTTTATTTTTTAAAAAAAATCTATAGTATATATATATATATATATATATTTGCTGAATCTGAATAATATATTCCACTGCATTAAAGTTCTGAATGGATTTCTATAGATTTCAATCTATTTTCCAAAAATTTGAATACTTTTATAAAATCCTGAAATACACTTTTCTCCTTTGTATTTTTCCGAAAATAAAAGTACACTCCAGGTTTTCTCGCAGAAAATAAAGTCTCGAAAAAACACGTTTCATATAAAAATTGATTTTACCAAGTTTTCAAGTTTTCACCAACAGTGTATTTTTGTCAAAAGGAATTGAGTTTTTGCCTCCAACTCTGATTTTCTAGATTTTCTAATCCTTATCTTTGATACCCAATGTCGCAGACCTTAGATTTAAATTTTTGGATTCTGTTGGATCAAATAATCTAAGTTAGAAATATGAAAGGTGTTCACTATTAGGTTGCAAAGATGCAGGGATTCGAGAAATTGAATGTTTGGCAATAACTCAAATCCTTTTGTTTTAAATTCAACTGTATAGTCATACGAAAGCTAATTCTTGATAACTTTGTTCACTTTATTCTTTAACTTTAACTTTATTCTTGCACTTGTCATTGGTCCTACTAAACCTTGTGTAAATATATATCTTGCTGTCCTTTGTATTTATTATTCTACCACTTGTCATTGGTCTTACTGAACCTTGTGTAAATGTAAGATATTTTGCTGTCCTTTGTATTTATTATTCTTCCTCTTGTCATTGGTCCTACTAAACCTTGTGTAAATGTAAGATATCTTGCTGTCCTTTGTATTTATTATTCTTGTACTTATCATTGATCCTACTAAACCTTGTGTAAATGTAAGATATCTTGCTGTCCTTTGTATTTATTATTCTTGTACTTGTCATTGATCCTTCTAAGCCTTGTGTAAATGTAAGATATCTTGCTGTCCTTTGTATTTATTATTCTTGTACTTGTCATTGGTCCTACTAAACCTTGTGTAAATGCAAGATATATGTTGGGAATTCATTCTATTTTACCAAAATACTTTTAAAAGCGTACACAAATTCTCTATTTGTTGATCTATTAGAATATGTAGATAACAAATATAAATTACAAATTACTATAAAATAATTAAAACTTTTCTCTTTTTAGGATTTGAAATAGAAAGTGAAAAGAACAAAGGAGGCTGGAATTTTAATGTTTTAAAATTATGTGTCTTGTTGTAACTTGTCTAATTTTAAAGAGGCTGGCTCATTTAACTTTTATTTTATATTACCTAACTTTTGTGCAAAACACATAGCATTTAATACATGTAAAAGCTAAATGGAGTATAACATTGACAGTTGTAAATAGTTGTGTTTTTGCTATAGGATATTTTTAACGCTGTGAAAAGTGCTTGTTAAATAAATTTACTGACGCTTACTCACATTTTATTCAACCTTTAACTGTGAGTTATAAAGAGCCTTCATGAATTCAGAATAAATACAAAATGGAAATTAACATTGGGGAGAGGGTTCAATTTATTTATATATAAAGTAGCATTTTCTGTTTGTTTGTATGTATATCCGATCATAACTCATAAACCCTCAACCGATTTGTCTCAAATTTTGATTGGATAACCTTGGTAGGGAAAAGTTTAGGTAAAGCTGGGTTCCCAAGCTAGTATTGAGTAACGTATGTCAAAAGAATTGAGTAATTGCAACAAACTCTTATTTATTACTCCGTATATCATTGTAATGTACCCTGTATATTTCAAGCTATGAATTTTGTTTGATCAAATAATCTAATTTTGAAATATTAAAGATTTATACGAAAAGGTTGCAAATATTTAAGGATTAGAAAATAGAGTTATTAGCAAATACTCAATTCATTCATACGATATATCTGGAACTACTTTGTGGCCTTATAGCTTCTCTTTATTGATATGCGATAAATAGAGCTAAAAGTGTAGTGTGCTAAACTTTGATATATGACTTGAAAAGAATAGAAACCGGGGTTTGAAACTTCTTTATTGTTCTTTTTCTTTGCAGTTTGAACTCAGAACAAAGAAAACATATTTATAAAAATAGTCGAAATTTATTCACGACAAGAAACATGAACTCAGGGCGCTTCGCGACAATTTTTCTTTAATTCATTTATTGATTTAATGCTTACTTCTTTTCAAAGAACCGACAACAATAAAAAAAAAAACATTTGTAGGGGACAAAAGTAAAATCGAAATTCACATTTGTAATGTTTTGAGACACAAGATTGTTTATTTACATAAGAACATGTGGGCACGGGAAACAACGAGTTATTTTGCCTGTTCTTGAATAAATGTTTTGTTAATGTGTTCTTTGCAGTATAGAATGAAGAGGGTCGTTAATACACTGCACTGTCAACATAAGCCCGGAACTAATTAGAAACCATCCTCACCAGAACAAACATTTATAAATAGAAATTCTTCACATTGTACATTTTATGCATTAGGGCGTGTTAAAAAGTTAAAATCTGAAACATGTTATTTCAACACCTAACTTACTTGTTATTTAGGTACAATATGATAAAAGAATTCATTTAAAGAATTATGAAGAAAAATTATCGTCATTTTCTTACGCTTCTTTTATGCAAAAATCTGCAAATTGCTTTCAAGAAATGTGCAAGTATAAGTTGAAAATAGCAGGCAGAAAAAAGGATGCCAAGGTTTGGAGGGTATAATAATAATATATAATAATAATAATAATATATAATATATAATTATAATAATAAGTGAATACATTTTTGAATATGCGTATTCACTAAATATTGCATTCACAAGAAACTTTTAAACTTTAAACCGTTTATTATCAGGATTGTGTCACTTTTCAACTTTTTAGTAGAGGCCGGGTTTTCTAAGGAAATTGTTTACAATTAAAAGTTAATATTTAAAAAAGTTTTTACCTAATTGAAGAGTACTTTTCAACTAATATTGTTGTTAAATCTGAGTAAAATCCCAGATTTATGTAGGATTTATTGATCAAGTTTACGGACATTTTACAACTTTCTTTCAGCCATTTCTTTATATATCCAAGGAAAAGAAAGTGGGAGTTATAGGGGAGTAGAGTATAAAAGAACTAGGCTTCTATTTCAAATTTTAATTTTAATATTAGCTGTAATATTTTTATGTATTCGGAAAAACATGATAATTAAACTATACGATAATGCATATCATCCATCAATATTCGAGGCATGTAATGACATTACATTACAGTAATGTAATTACTATATCCTTACATATATCTTAAGATAATTTTGGTTTCATTTATTAAATTGAAATCTGAACGAAATTCTTTATATTTCCTGTGATTTTGAAAGCATTTTGGAGTTGTCAAAGCTTTTGTAAAGGAATTGAGTCTTTGTCATAAATTCTGCTTTCTAAATCCTATATCTTTGCATTCCAATGTTGAAGACACTTGACATTTCAAACTTTGACTTCTGTTAGATCAAATAATATAAGTTTTAAATATCAAACGTTTACGACATTGGGTTCTTAAGACATAGGGATTAGAAAATCAGAATTTGTGGCAAGGACTAAATTCCTTTATTATTATTGTTGCAAGAATTACACTAATTATTCGTAACAAATTAATTCTTTACGATCTGTATATTTGCAACCTGAAGAATCTTAAATATGGCAAGGAAACATTTAGGGTTTTTTCGACCAAATCCGCACAACGGAATTCCGATTGGAAACCCTAGTGCCCACTATAGTTTCAGTAGAAGTAATATTTCCATTTCCATCGATAGAAGGATTTATCTCTAATTGGATAATGAGCTAGATAGAAAGATAGATGTTACCGCCATATAATTTCTATTGGTTCAGAATAGACACAAAAAACATGAATGTACCCTGATCGGATCAGGCGCTAATGGACTCGGCATACTTGAGTGTACCATCATCAAAGATGCACACCCTCAGACTGCAAAGATACAAGGACTGAAAATTATAGTTTGTGTTGGGTAACGGTTCCTTTACGAGATAAAATTAGCATTTAAAAAAGGGCGCGCGCGCGCGAAAAACCTTAGAAGCCGTCTTAAGCTTCCGTGATATCTCTAAAACTACCGTTTTCAAGTTAGAATTTATTAAAACTTAGAAAAGTAATATTTCGAAATGAAGTTTCTGATATTTGAATCTCTGAGAGGTTATGTCGAATATGAGAATTTGTTGAAAGGTTTGCTCAAGTTTGTTCTGACTCTAAATATAGAAATGATTGATGCATTTATCCACAGTTCAGGTAGTCATAGATGGATCATTGACGCGGACCGCCCTGCCTATACAGCCTAAAAGAGATTTAAAGAGAATTTAATGAGGGGGGTTATTGGGGTTATTTACCCCCCCCCCCCCTAGAATCCTGGGGTTGATTACCCCCCCCCCTAGAATTTGTTTTTAAAAAAAGGTTGATTATAAAATTGAATATCTTTAAAATTTACACGAAAATAATTTAAATGTGCAAATACTTAAGATATTTTAGATTTTAAGTCAACATATTCTAAATGATTCTAATTTCTAAAGTAATAGTCAATGTCATTACAATTAGATGTTTTTTTTAATAGAAAAAAGTGTATGGGCAATGAAGAATACATATTTTTACTTCTAAATAATGTCATTTCGATATTAGATTTATTTAAGATCTTAACACACTACATTGACGACAAGAAAAGTTTAGAAATTAGAAATAAGCAGAGGCGCAACTAGGGGCCGCGCGCGCGCCCTCCTCTAGCACCTACACCTGCAGAATGAAAAGTAAGATTGGCGAATATTAGTCTCACAGGAGTCAGGAATAATAAAACCAAAAGTATTATTGTGAAAAATTGTATTCTTCTAATGTTAGTTTTAAAAAAATATGTTTATCTTTCTGAATTCTCAAGGCAAAGGCTATTATAAACATTTAATGTAAAAAAGTTCCGAACTGTATTAAAACTTTGAATTATTTTTAAAATATAATAAAGTTTGAAATATCAAAGGTTTATACCTCTCGGTGCAAAGATTTAGGGATTAGAATTTTTGAGTTTGAAGCAAAAAATTAATTAATTAATTAGCCTGGCAAAATTCTAACTGATTAACATATTTGAAAACTGTAACCTGTGTATCTTCTTTAAAAGAACTTCTATAAAATCCAAAATGAAATAAGATTATGGTTAATGAATGTTGGTAAGAATGATCAATCATAAATTCAATAACTTCAGGAGAAAACGAAATATTATTTGTCCTTTTTCAGTGTAGATGATTAAAATTATAAATGTTTTTTGACTTTTTTTCAGAATATAAATGATTATTTCTTGTAATTATATCTGTAGTTTAACAAGGTGCTTAACAAATTTTCTTTGGCGCTCCGGGCACAAATGAAAATAATTGATTGACTCATATCGTTAATTTTAAAGTTGTTAAAAAGTATAACTTTTTTTTAAAATACAAGAAAAAAACGATTTGAATTGAACATAGCAAATCTGCATGCAACAACTGAAAATTTCCTTTTTTCGACATCAAACCCTTAAAATAACACTTTTATTTTGAAAACATTTTCTAAAGGGTGGTCAAGCCCCCCCCCCCCCACACTGAAATGAATAAAAATTGAGTATTTTATAGATTTTTGTAGTTAATGTAAAATGAATGACTATAATGAAGGATATAAAACAAGGTGAAAGCTGAAAGGAAGGAATTTGATGGAAATGCCAGAAATGAGTTGAAAATGCATATCAAGCCCAACTAAAACCAATAATTTGATATACATCATGATATTTTTCTAGGGGGGGGGGGGTAAAAAAAATTTGGCGAGCTTCGCGCGCCACATTAAAAGAATTTACCCACCCACCCCATACAGAATCCTTATTTACGCCCCCTGGGTTGTTGTATATTTCCACAACGTGGTTAGAACTTAGTGACAGTAATTATAGAAATACAAATGTGTTTTATCGTTTAGGCCCATTGTCTGACAATAATCCAAATGTTCCAAACTTTCGCGCAAAAATCTATGAGAATTTTGCCAATTACCAAATTCGGCCAAAATTTTATTCTTTCAGCTTAAATTAGCAATTCACAAATGGGATCTACTGGACACAAAGCAATGGAGCTATCGTGCTGAAAATATACATTGAAATATATCGCTAATGTGCTTTTTCTAGAACATTGAACGTTCATAAACTTCTTTACTTTTTCAGCGTCAAAGTTGTAAACAAATTTTTCAATTTTGATGGACAGGGTGGGGTGGAGTACGTTCAAACACCTGTGTCTAAAAAACAATTAATTAATTTTTTTATTAATTAAGGTTCAGATCTTGTAAATGTAACATGTGTAATATTTTTCAAACGTAAAAATAACTATTTTTCAACATTTGAACCCTAACCATTGAAGTTAGACGTCTTCATTATTAATGAACTGACCTTGAAAATTCAGATTGGAGACG